TCTTAATATTTATTCTTATTATTAAGATATTAAAATATTAATGTCTTAGTATTTTAAAATTATTTCATTGTTATACCTTTTTTACAATAGCATTCTTGTCCAGCTTCCTATGTCTTTTTTTTTGTGTTCAGTTCAAGTTAGCATGTTTCCCCACTCTATATTGAAAGCATAAAGTCAGGTCCAAAAATGTATGCCACTCCTTAAGTAGTCAACTCCTCAGTGGGTGTTCCCGTCTTTCTTCAAAATGCCTACTTTTGCTGACTTGCAGAATTCCATGACTATATCCCTACAACTAAATGTCTACCAGAGCAGTAGGTCCTAATTCTAGGTTTTGATGTTCTGTGTGCTTTCATTTGTGGTGCTTGTGGCAATTATTATTTATTCCAGTTAGAAATGCAGTTCAGTAAAATGAATAGTTTTCAGTATGTTATAAACCAACGCTGCAGATGGAAACTTAAGTATATTCAGAGTATAGATTCTTGCTTTTACAGAGTGCTGTTGATTATCATTTTCCATTTATACAGTTTGCTTTCTTTTAACTAATGTTTAGAATACAGAAACGTTTTCCAAAAGAACTGATCAAAACTTAACATTGGATGATCCACTTTTGGATAATTCCTTTTTGTATTTCTTTCAATATTTCAGGTTCTTTTAATAGTACTCTTCTAAATAATTACATGACCAGAAAAGCTCTAACTGTACATTTATGCTTTTAACATCCTTTGATAGAGTTCTGGTTTTCATTTCCAGCAGGCACTGCTTGTAAAATGAATGGCAAAGACAGTCCAGCAAATTTATACTGAAAATTCTATTAGCTTTCAAAGTATGCACACAAAAATCCTGGTTAATTAAAAAAGCATGCTTTTGCAGTTATTTGAGATAACTTTAAAATGATCCTGTTTTCATATGGTAAAATCTGCTGAATGATAGTGCTATTCCCAAGTAATTTGCGATACAAGGAGCAGAGAAAAAAGTGCAGCAGAAGAAAGGGACTTTCAAACTTCAGCAAGGACATAATTCTATTTCATATCTAACATCTTTTCTTTACAGTAATTTTCAGAATACTTTAAATACGATATTTTATGTTCTTTTGATTCTGTTACACACCGTTGTAATCATTTGCTCTCTGTTTTGTTTTTTTGCAAAGCAGCTTCCCCAATTTACAGTATCTGAGTTTAGCTCACTGCAGAAAATTCACAGACAAAGGTTTACTGTACCTGGGCTCTGGAAAAGGCTGTCACAAGCTCATCTGTTTGGACCTTTCAGGTTGCATTCAGGTTTGTAGTTCACGTCTTCCTTTCATTCTGTGAAGAAGAGAATCCTTTATATGACTGGCTGCATCCTGCATTCATGGTATACTGAAGTAGAACAAGCACTGCAGCAGACTTCCAGGGTTTTGAATTACATGACTACAGCTGTTTAAATTTTACTAAGGAATAATAGCACTATAGGTTTGGATGACTTCCAACAAACTGTCAGATCTATAAACAGCTAGTTCTTACTGCATAATGAGAACAAGGCTTGCTTTTTGTAGCCATAAATAGACTAATTCTATGTCATGATTAGTTAGGATTTTAAATCGTGAGCTTTGAAAATGCAGTTTTTACTGAAATATCAGAAAAATAAAAGCCACTCTGCACTGGAAAAATACAAATTTACACTTGATTTCCTGAGAAGGAAATTAATTAAAAAGTGAACTTTTGTTACTATTTTATATTGGGTTAATATATAAATTGAAGTAGTATTTATAACTGCAATCTAAAAATACTTAATGTTTAGGAATATTTTAGTCTCCTACTAAACTTCTAAAGAAAACCAAGGTTTTAGAATCTGGTACTATTTTAGAAACTTTCAAATATATACTGTATCTTGAAACATACTTCAAAAGCAATATTAAATGCCAAACCGTAAGGCAATAAATGTCTGCCAATTTTTTAACAAAGACTCCCACATGTATTTCTTTATACACTGAGAAGATTCCCCAAATTACAAAATACATGTGAACTGATAAAGAGATGGAGTCTAAGGAATGTAACGGTTTAACTTTCCATCTAACAAAACCTTTTCAGAGCCAAGGATGAAGGCAGATAGGGCAACAGTCTTGTTCTGACTGCTCTTTACTCTGAGCGTCTGTTTCTTGTTCCTGAGAATCATGCTGAGACTGTTGTGCAGTGACTGTGTGAATTTTGAAATGAGGGCTGAGGTTAGAGGAAAGTTAAGAACTACCTACCTCTGAGTTACTTTTACAAAATGCCAGTAACTGGTTAATTTTTCCAAAAGCAACATTCCTTCTTGTTCTGAAGTGTAATCATGAGCTGTAAGGATCTGCCTCTAGAAAGCATGATCTAATAGTAAGCAGAAAGAAGTGGTCATCATCGAACTGGGAAAACCACAATCCTCCCCTTTCCAGAGGAAATTTGGTTTGCTTACCAGTGTATTTGAGAGCTCTGAAAGGGATTCCATAGCTTCCTCCATTTTGGGTTTCCCCATGATTCTGGAACAGTGCTTAATGATTATGACTGAGTACTTAAGTAAACAGTTAAAACCAAAAAGAGCATCCAATTACATCACTGCTGCAGAAAGCTTTTTAATAAAATAGAGTTCTTTTTTTTTTCCCCTCATTGGATGAACTAAACCAAAGGGAACTTCTGTAAGGCTAATGTTTCAGAACTAGCTAGAAAAATGTAGTGAAGCTGTAGTGTAAACTTTTAAATTATGCTAAAAAGTGTTCTATAGAACAGAATACATATTCTGTAGAATATATATTTTCCCCATTTTTTTCATGTTTCCTGCTTTTTCCTTCATTTTAACATTACAGTTTTTTAATATAGGTTCTTATATTACTATTACTACTGTAGGATTTGAATGTCCATTTAGAAAGCCCATCTGTAAAATGGGTGACTATCCTAATGATTTTGCAAGTGGCAACTTGAGGACCAAGGCATTTAAATAGCTTGTTAAAACATAGTTAGGCAGAAAACTGGGAATTAAGCACACATTTCTAGTCTGTTGTCATAAAACAAGGCAGTTTTTCCTTTGACTATCATATTAATAAATGGCAATAATACTGGATGAATTGTAGGTATGGATCTTTTGCATAAAATCTCAGTAATTAAGGTCGTATCTTTATGACATGGTGGTAAGTATTTTCATTAAAGAGTTTCAAGATATTTTCATTAAAATATAGAGATTTTCTTGCATCCTTCTCTGAAGGTGTCCTATTATGCCACTGATATTCTCAGAGAATTACTGAGAAAGCATAAGATTTCTTTGTCCTGTTTCTGAAGCTGAATAGTATAGGTGGAAAATTTTCTGCTATTGGACACAAAACTGATAAGACAGAAGGGTGTAAAGCAATTGCATGTGATTTACTGACATATTAGATTGAGATTATACAACTAGAGCAGTTTGGTGAGAGATATTTTAAGTTAAATTAGAAACATGGAGCTTTTCAAAGAAATTGCTCTATTGCAAAGAATTTCAAAGAAATTATTTTTGGTGCCAACATCTATGGCTGATTTTCAGACTGGAACTATTCTGGCCCAAAATGTGTTAGAGTGGTCTGTCAGTTGCTATAGTTTACAACATCTGGATAAGAGATCACAAGCCACTGGTAAAAATAAATTTGACCCTTTAATTTCTTGACATTCTGCAGTGTTTGTGGGGATGTCAGAGAAGCTATTGGCAAACGTGTAGGCTTCACCAGTTTTTACCGTCTGAGTTTCTCCTGCTCTAGGTTCATTGGGAAAATTCTCATTTTGGTAGCTACTGTCAAATTCTGGCTTCTTCAGACATACCAAGCAGCAAAAAGGGGCCATCACCTGGGGAGAAAATCTGAGCCATGTTCTTTATTTATTGAAGAAGAGAACTCATTGTTTACATTTCCTGAGTATCAACTCATGTAACTGAAGAATACTGGTTACAATACTAGAATCATAGAACAGTGTTTCTTCAGAATCCCTTCTGCACTGTAGACAGTGTTCTGCCTTGTGGTGGATTCCACAAATACAATTGTTTCAGGGGGAGAAAGAAGGAATTTTAAAGCAGTACTGTGTGTGTAGCAAATAAGCCAAAACCTGAATAAAAATTCTGTGTATACCTATTCTTTGGAATTAAGAGACTATAAAAAGATAAAATTAAAAGAATTTTGACATTCTTATAAGCATTTCATCATTTCACTACATTTATTTTCTAAATCTATCCAGACAAATCTTTAGCTGTGGTTTGCTCCATGTTTGTTTTGATGTATTTTCATTTCAGATCACAGTAGATTAGCATACAGTTAAGAAAAAAACCAAATCAGTCATTTACATATTAGCCTGGAAACTCCTCACAGACAAGGAATTATATTTTATATACAATCACTACATTGACTTCTGATCCTGTACATGCAAGAAGAATAATACATTTATAAAATGATCTTACTGAGTCATGCAGGAAAAGTCTGTTTTGCAAAATTTTATAGGATCTAAGACTCATAATAACCTTCAAAGCATCCTTCCTCACAACTGCTTTAAGAAGGAGGTTTAAGTAGGATTTTACTGATCCAGGGCAAAGAATGCAATATTAAATTCCATGTGTATCCTAACATTGTTTCTCAGGTCAAGCTGTTTGCTCTTGAGGCAATCTATTAAACACTGAAATTCCAAGTGAGTTGAGAAAGCAATTGCTTTACTAAAATGTGCACAAAATTTTGTATTTCTACATGTTATCTTCAAGAATGCCTGAAGTTTCACAGAAAATCCATAGATGCTTTAGAAAAGAAATTCAAGATTAAGATTTTATTGTTCTGGGAATAAAGAAAAGTAAGACAAATACATATGATATTGCAGCAGCATCTAAATGTTGACTAATTTAGTTGAATCTTGTCTGAACACGTTTCACGCTGAAACTTTCTCAATGTGATGCCTGATATCCATTATGCAGCTTTAAGTTAAAAAACAGTTCAAGTGAAAAAAAATTTGAAACGATTGTGCAGGGGTATTATTAGCTGCTTCAGTATAATTGTTTTTGGCTTGCATGGAGGAAAACACTAAATGGCTGCTATTTGTAGTATCAAATGGCTATGTTAAGCAGACTGTTTTTCCAGACAAAGAGATTGAAAGTCCTTTAGATTGCAGTTAACATTATGCAATCATTACTAAACTCCAGAAACAGATATGCTACTTCTATCCCTCAGCATTGTTGAGTTTGATCTGATTACCTGCTACGTATTATCTGTCCTTTTGAGAATGGGAACTTCACTTAAGTGTCTAACCTAAGGTAGTGCCTAGAAAATTACCTTAATTTATCTATATAACAATTAGAGAAGGAGAAAGGCCCCCAGGGGTGATTCAGACTTTTTCAGGTCTGACCTGTCTTGGGATCTTTCTTGCTCTTTGTTTGCTATACAGGGATTCCAGGTTTCATAATTGTCTAACATAGACACCTCAGTTATATTCCTAATTTCAGTGGAGTAAACAAAGGCTTTAGCATTTGCAGTCTATTTTTTAAATAATCATCAATATTATTGGCACTTTCTTGACTTAGCATTTTTCCTACCTATTTCCCTGATTTTGAAGTCCCCTCAACTGCGATTCCTCTTCTACAATTGTCAGAACAACCTGTAAGTCTTGCAAATATTTATCTTACTGCTCAGTTAAATGGCTAACATTAGCAAAGTCAAGAGCTTAAAACTAGGATCCTGAGTCTGCATTTATTTTTTTGGGGTGATATTTTTAAAATCTTGGCCAAAGCAACAAGTAATGTAATGTAACTAAGATCCATCATTTAGTCGTATTTGCATCTGAATTTTAGGTATCTAGACACGAGGGATCTTGTATTACTCTTCTCTGTATCTAACTATGGTCACCAACCTAGGCAGGTACTCTTTAACAGTTAACAGTATGTTCATGCTAAAAAAAAAAATATCCCAAGAACAATTGGCAGCAGATCCCATTAAGCCCCGTACCTTCCTTTGATTAGCAGTCATAGGAGTAAGTTGTAGTTGGTTACAAATGATGCATGCATTTGAACTGAGTCTTACAAAATCTCTGCAGTTTGAACAATAAGCACAGCTGAATACGGCATGTTCGGCACTACCTCAGCTTTTGCGTGACTGTTCCTTGGGAGCAGTTACTCCTTCTCATTACAGCAAATCTGTTCAGCAGTTACAAGGGGAAATCCTACTGCCGTAACAGCTAAAGCATACTCAAACTGCTTAACTGTGGCTGATTTTTTAGAAAAGTGAAAACCCTTATCTTCTTTTGAAAAGGCATCATGTTCAGATTATAACGAACAGTGTCGTTACCATGTATTACAACAAACTGTATGACATAGCATACCCGCTCTTTTCTTGGGAATGGTTTGCTCTTTGTAGCATAGGGACCAAGAACAGACTCAATTACAGAAATTCACCTCCCAAACTGAAAATTCTAGGTGGTGATTTGTTTAACATATTAAGTGTGTAAAAAAAAAAGTGCTGTCTTCTGTTGTTCCAGTGCTTGAGAGTCAACAATGAGGAGGTCTGTTGCAGGGTTAGGTAAACTCTTACTTGAATGAATTGGTCATGCCATGTTAACACAATTAGTGCTTCTCAACCAGCGGAGAATGGAGATTGCCCCGTACCTCCCTCAGGCAGCTGCTTGTGTGATGTTCACAATTTAAGCTAGTTCCTGTCATACAGACCAGAGGTTTTGGGCTGAGGAAACTGGAGATAGGATTACATTGTCCTACATTACATATACCAATAGTAGAGTACAAAACTGTAGAATTTGGACAACTGATTTTCATATTCTGTCCTGAGAACTAGCACCTATCTTTCCATGCCGACATTTTACCTTCTGGTGATCACTACCAGTTGAAAAGAGGATTGCCTTTGCCATAGCAGCCCTGCACTAGTACTGGTTGTTTTGCAATCATCTGGGGTGGGCAAATCCAACCTATCCATGCTGATGGGTGAGATCTGCAGTACTATCTGCAGATCCTCACTGATATGTTACCTGCATCAACCACATTCCCAAAGTCATGGTGTCCTTTTGTCCAGCAGACACGTCTCAGTTGGAGGGGGTGTGAGAGCCTGGAGTGCACTAACAGGCTCTACATGCTCTGACCAGCTTGTGGTTGCAAGATGGTTATCTTTCTGTATAATCCTTCTCTGCAGCCTTCCTTCCTGCCCCCAGATTTTTCTTTTTCCTTCTTCATCTCTTTCTTACAATATAGCTGTTTTCAGAGGAGCCTGATCCAGTGTTACACAGCTGCACCATATCAGGCTTGACCTTGAATGCAGGCAGCAGACAGATTTATATCCCCATGCATTACCTGTAAAATATTTCCTATAGCTATTTTGATGGTAGGGTTTTCACTCTGTCATTTTGCAGGCTGTTACAGACCCACTGTAGGAAAAACGTTCATGCTACACTTGTCCTGAGCTGAAAACACATTGGACTATTTGCATCCACAGTGCTAACAGTGCCAGTGAGTGTCATGGGCCACACCATAGTCCATCTGTCTGGACGTGAGACCTGCACAAACACTTTAAGCTGAAGAACACATTTGACAGACATGTAGCCAGTTCCCCTCTAGTGCTGACACCCCCCTGCACAAGGGAAAAAGTGCAAAGAGTGCCAGAATCCCTTATGAAGGAGAGAAAAGACATTTAATGTCAAAATATTTAAAACAATTTATAAAGAATCTGCTTAAAAGGCCACTCCAGCCTGAAAATAACGAGAAAGCCAACCTGGCCATAAGTTTAAAGATGGGGCATTATGCCAGAAAAGAAAAGACAGTCTGCCTTGATTATAACTTAAAGTCAGATACTCAGGTCATGAAAAAAATCCTCACATGCAAGAACCCAAATCTTAAGTTTGCAAAAAGAAGAAGAGCCAGAAACCAATGTATTAACCCCCTCACTCAATGCTAGAGTGGAAGGACAGCAGGCTTGACCCTTGTTTCCACTGATAAGTAGTTGTGGGGAGCAGTCAGATGTGCTGCAAAGGCTGGAGGCTGCAAGTGCAAGAACTGGAAGCATCTTCTAGTGCACTGCTACCATACTGATGTGTGATGGGTGATGAGCTGCTGCTTAGCTTTTGGCTTGCTTTTCTGTGACTATCATCTGTCTGCTAATGGTGTCCACTGTCAGACAAGTTATATACCTAAGCGAAGCCTGTGTTTTACACTGCTGCTCCCCTTAAGCAATGTAACTAAGCAAATCAGTCTTCTGCAGCATTTGGAGAGGTGGGGCACAGCAAGAATCCTTCCCAGTATACTTTATCTTTGAAGCTTCCTCCTTTGGATTCTTGTCTCCACAGGTGTTATTTGGTACCCAGGAGGACTTGCCAGACTGCTTTTTTTGTGGATGTTTTGCAAATGAATTCTTGGTGCAGAGCACGGCTGTAGTCTGAGCTGCACAAGATTATTATATTATACAACTTCAAAACCCTGGGAAATAGTGAGATCTCTACATGCAAATATCATGGGGGACTATTTTGTGAGGGGGAATGGTTCACATCCATGTTGTCTGTAGAACATGGAGCTAAAAGGAAACTATCCTTTACTTTACACAGGATTTGTATGTCAAAGGAACTACTTTCTATACCCAAGACTGAACTGACATCTATTGAATTTGGGCAGTTGAAGAATTGACTCCCTGGGGTCACTCCCTGGAGTGATAAAGGGAATAAACTAAATTGACAGATCCATCTGTCCATTCATACTTTCACTGAATATTGCTCTGTTAGAGTATGCAAAGTTGGTGATGTGGTCCTACATGAAGGATTCTGTAAATGAGCTCGATGTTATTGTGATTGCATAGGATCTTTCTTTGTATCCCATCTGAATTTAACACACATTTTGCTATGGATCTGGAAAAAACAATGAAGATATTTTACTACATTCAAACCTTGCTTCAAACTAGATGTGAGCATCTGCCATGTGTGAATACCTCACAGGGCTGGGAAAACAAAGGTAGAAGGATGTGACAATGACATTCATTGCTACTCCCATAAATGGTGTTGACTGTAGAAACTGTTGTGCCTTACTCTTGCTTGCTTAGTAGACACATTTTTGGAACAGATCCTGGATTTGGATGGTGGTGTTAAAATTTCAGAATAACATGTATACCTCATGGGTCTGTTTTTCTTTTACTGGGATTAATGCGTTTCTTGTTTTCGTGAGCATCTAGGTACCTATGATTTTAAAGTACTGAGAAGATCTCAAGCCTTTCCTGTATTGTTTTGTTAGGCTTGCTAAGACATAAATATTTTATTTCTTTCTTAGGTTTCAGTTGATGGCTTCAGAAATATTGCCAATGGCTGCAGTGGGATTCAAGATTTGCTAATTAACAAAATGCCAACTCTTACAGACAGATGTATTCAAGTAAGAAACTGAGAATAAATCTGTACTTTGAGAAATTTTCTGATGTTGGAACTGGGTTGTCCTATCAACTGACTTTAAAGAAAGTTATGCAGATACAATTTAAGAGGAAAATTTCTCCCCCAAAACATTTTATTAAACTATTACTTAATTGTGATTATAAATCTTGCTCACTTGCAGTCACTTTCAGAAAATTTCAGTTGTCTTGTCTTCTTTTGCCACATGGACATGGCTGAATTATGGTCTTCCAGCTTATAAATGAGAGGTTTTCAGTTTTTTCAGTATTAAAGCAAATCTAATATATGCGAACAGCATTCTGGTACTGATTTTGCCCATCAAAAAAGAATTTTCTGGCTTCTGCAAAAGTGATTGTTAACTAGATCACTGTCTCGGGTATCTGCCATACTTTCCTTGTGTTCTCAAACGTAATAAATATAGGGAGACTTTCAGTAGTTTATATACCTCTCACTGTCTAAAAGTTGCTGTTAAAATGGATTGTAACTGTTTGAAATTGTACCATTTGGTATTATATGGAGAATATTTGCTGATCATTCGTTATGTGACAGCATAGGTATATGAATATTTTTTTTCATCTTTTTCCCTTTGAAGGCTCTGGTTGAAAAATGCCAACAGATAATGTCTGTTGTCTTTCTTGACTCTCCACATCTTTCTGATGCAACTTTTAAAGCCCTTGCTGAATGTAAACTTGTCAAAGTCAGCATTGAAGGTTAGTATAATAATTTGCAGAATTATTAGGATGATTTATTTTTAAAAGTCATCCAGAAAATTTGAAATAAACCTTTCAGCTGATTTCAGTGGGTATTTGGATCAGGCCCTTAATGTATGTTAGATGTGTAACTTCCATCTTTATATATTTCAACAGGGAATAACCAAATTACTGATTTAAGTTTCAAGTTGATGAGTAAATGCTGCCCATACATCAGGCACATTCATATGGCTGATTGCCAGAAGATTACAGATGCTGGTCTTAAGATGATTTCACCATTGAAGCATATTCTTATACTGAATGTAGCAGACTGCGTAAGGTACTATATCACATCCAGATTTCTGTAAACCATTGCCAAGGAATTTTAGTAAAGTTAATTATAATAAGTCCTGTTAACACATCTTTCAGTTTTAAAAATAAATTCTTACAATGTTAATACATGTGTCTTAATAGTTTAAAAAATATTTTATACAAGTAGTTTTTTGTTCCTGTATCACATCTTCAAAAATCCATTCATTATAAATATTCACTCCAAAATATTTACTTCATTCACTCCAGGTGAAGCCAAACAATCAGCTGTAGATATAATTACTTTATAGCCATGGCATATTTTAGTGCTGGAATGTGGCTACAAAGAAGATGAAAATTATAACCAAAGACAATTCCAGTGCCACGACTCTATTAAAATTTGGATATTGTTTAATTTTGTGACTACTAAAATAATACTTTATCTAGTACTAAGATATAAAAAAAACTGACAATTTTTTACAATACCAAGACAACCTTGTAATTTATGTTGTAGAGGAAGGATATATTTTATGTGAAGACTGTTTTCCACTTCAGGTGAGTCATGTAATTGGTAGAAACAAAGACAAATGAATGAGCTTTCAAAGCTGCATGGTTGTTCCCTGTTTTGCAGCATGGTGATAAAGTCAAGGGTGGGAGGGAACAGGGAAGGCAAAACCTCAAAACATTTCAAAATCAACAGACCTATAAAATAATACAAAGAAGCTAGAGCTGCTGCTTATCTTACAATTTCTAACGCCATGTGAAGTTTTAGGGATTCTGCTTTAATATGTAACTAAAGTACTTTTTGTGCCTGTGATGCTGTATAAAAATCTGATAACATTGCATGTAGATGTGCTGAGAAGTGCTGGAGTAATACCATGACATCATGTTGGTAGTTCAGCTGGGCAGATGGGACAGCTGCCTGCATTTTCTGGTTTAACGTTTAGAAGGCTGGATTTTCCAGTCTGTTAGCCAAATCTTGGGCTGTGAGTGTGTTTGCACATGTGTCTACTGTCTCTACAGCTAAAGAATTGCTGAATTATCTTAACAAAACTTTTTAAGCAATTGTAAAACTATTGTAAAACCCTGTACTTATTTTATTGGTTTTGCAGGCACTTGTAAAAGTTTCAGCATTAACAAAGGTATAGCTTGTAACACATCTAAACTTGTCTGGTGGGTTGACCCTGGCTGGACACCAGGTGCCCACCAAAGCCGCTCTGTCACTCCCCTCCTCAGCTGGACAGGGGAGAGAAAATATAATGAAAGGCTTGTGGGTTGAGATAAGGACAGGGAGAGATCACTCACCAATTACTGTCATGGGCAAAACAGACTCAACTTGGGGAAAATAGCTTTATTTAATACCAATCAAATCAGAGTAGGATAATGAGAAAAAACCCTTAAATCTTAAAACCCCTTCCCTCCACCACTCTCTTCTTCCCAGGATCAACTTCATGCCAGATTTTCTCTACCTCCTCCCTGCCAGTGGCACAGGGGGATGGGGAATGGGGGTTGCGGTCAGTTCCTCACACGTTTTCTCTGCTTCTCCTTCCTCCTCAGGGGGAGGACTCCTCACACTCTTACTCTGCTCCAGCATGGGGTTCCTCCCACGGGAGACAGTCCTCCATGAACTTCTCCAGCATGAGTCCTTCCCACGGACTGCCGTTCTTCACGAACTGCTCCAGCGTGGGTCCATCACAGGGTCCCAGGTCCTGCCAGCAAACCTGCTCCAGCATGGGCTCCTCTCTCTCCTCAGGCCCTGCCAGGAGCCTGCTCCAGTGTGGGCTTCCCATAGGGTCCCAGCCTCCTTTGGGCACATCCCCCTGCTCCGGCGTGGGGTCCTCCCCGGGTGCAGGTGGAGATCTGCTCCCCCGTGGAGCTCCATGGGTGCAGGGGCACAGATGCCTCACCAGGGGCTGAACCAGGGGCTGCAGGGGAATCTCTGCTCCGGTGCCTGGAGCACCTCCTGCCCTCCTTCTTCACTGACCTTGGTGTCTGCAGGGTTGCTTCTCTCACATATTCTCACTCCTCTCTCCGGCTGCAGTTGCTGTTGTGCAGTAACTTTTCCCCTTCTTAAATATGTTATTCCAGAGGTGCTACCACCATCGCTGATGGGCTCAGCCTTGGCCAGCAGCGGGGTTGGAGCTGTCTGGCATTGTCTCTATGGGACATGGGGGAAACTTCTAGCAGCTTCTCACAGAAGCCACCCCTGTACCTGTCCGCTACCAAAACCCTCCCACGCAAACCCAGTGCAACTTGGTAAAGAGCTTCTCTCAATAGATAAGAAACTACAAAAGAGCAATTGTTAGTATTAATGGTTCTTGTATTTGGACAGTATATTGCTATAAAAGTTCACATTATGAGTTAGAAACATTTAGGGATTTCTCATACAATCAAGGGAAGCACTGTACTGGTGGTATAAGCTTAAGAACAGGTTTCGAAATGCTTAGCCATCTTAGTGCTCTTAATCAGTTTCCTTTTTCATTGATGTTTTTTCTAAGAGTCTAAGTTTTTCTAACTTAGTCATATGGAAAAATTTTTGAGAAATGAAAGGGACAGAAAGAGCAAATCTAACAATTCAAAATTCTTAAATTACAGGAAGTATTTGACTACAAGTGAAAAATGAAGAAAGAAAATTAACTAATAATGTTTATTAGAATTAAGAAATACTAGAGATGTGAGTAAAAAGGTGGCTAAAAACGGACACAGGCAGTGTGGTGGCTCATACCCTTGGCACATTTTCCCAGTTTAAGTCAGTTATCTTCATGTATGATAAAGCAGTGTGTGGCCTGTGTTCTTATACAGTTAATCAACTGACTAGAGAACCTTAGCATATGTATTCACCACACAATTATTTAAAAAGTTATAATGTGGTTATTTCAGCCCTCAAGCCCAGTGTGGTTACAGAATATCTGGTTACAGAATATCTTTTTTTTTTTTTTTTATTCAGTTGACTGTATTGCCAGGCTCTGCATTCCTTACAGACTTTATGCAAGTTAGTTATTCCAAAGGTATATTTCTTAAATTTATCTATCTTGAATGAAAAACAACAGCACTGTGAAATAACACCAAAACTACCACAGTGGTTGAAGTACTGCAGAATGATTACTTTAACACTTTATGAATTACAGCTTCATCTGTAGCTTGTGGTCACAGAATGAGCCTCTGTTCAGGTTATCATTTTATTAGTAGTCCTGTTCTTACCCGTATGTTTCTGGGACTTGGGGATTTGCAGTGATTCTTTGTGCTTCAACAAACTGTACAAGCCAAAATATGATTCTGTCCTACAGACTTCTGGGATTAATTTTTTATTCACAAGGGAACACAGAAAAAATACTCGGAATGTATTGAAAAGCTAAGTGTACAGTAATGTTAAACATACCAGAGATATGAATTGTATTGAAACACCCAAGTTGTAGTCAGCTCTCCAGCCCTCTCAACTTGGCTGAAAGATTTTTCTGTCTACTTAATTTTTATAACCTTTGTGTATATTATAAGTTAGCGATTCGTGTGTGAGGTATGCAATTGATTAAGTGAAACACTCTGAGAAAGAACTCAGGTTAACTCTTCATGCACGTGTACAGAACAGCTACTACATACATATACTACCTATGACTTTTGCTTCTGTGCCAGTTCATTTTTCCTTTAAATTATTTCAGTTCCTTAAATTAACAAAGATATTAATACAAATATTACTCTGAAATGTTTGAACAGTTTCTGATACTTTCCAGATATGTTTTCCAAGCTCTGTCCTTTGGAGTGCTATCCTACCTGAGTGTTGGAACTAATGGAAGTTCTCATAATCTCCAACAGACATTTTTTCAGAAAGTTCTGTTTTTCAGCAGTTCCAAAGAGCAGCATCTTTCTAATTAGGCCGTTAATTATTCTAAGTCCTTTTTGGGTTTAAAAGGCTATTTTAAAAATACCATTGCTGATTTCTGCTTATCTACAATGTAGGCTGCTGAATGCAAATTGTATATTGACTTGTATGGAGTAGAAAAAATACATATTATAAATATTGCCTACATTTCTCTTTTAGAATCAGTGATGGAGGTGTAAGGCCATTTGTACAAGGTTCTTCAGGAGCTAAGCTGAGAGAGCTGAATTTGACTAATTGTATTCATGTCACTGATGCTTCTGTCACAGAAATAGCACAAAGGTACCATAGTCCAGTACAATATTTTTCTAGTGTGGTTAGACTTGCAGTATATTTCTAATGTTACAGTTCTGAATATGTTAATAAATGGGTAAAATTATACAGCCAATTGTATATCAAAAATTGTGCTAGATAAATGACTAGTCCCTTTTGGCATTGTGAATCTCTTAAAAATTATCCATTATATAAAGGGGAATTCATTGATATAAATATGAAAACCTGGGAAGTCTTAATTTTAGGGAGAAAAAAGTGCTTAAATGATGGTTGTCAGTGACAAAACTGCATTAAAAGATTAGTATGTATAAGTTGTATTTTGTAAACCCAATAAATACTCATGTGTGCACAAACAAAAAGCTCTTATTGCTAAACCCCTTCAATTCCAGTTCCTCAGAAGGAATACTCATGTTTGCAATCAAAAGATAATTTTTAAATCTCCAGAGAAGATTGGAGTCAGTCTTTCCACTCCTTACTAGATCTCTCAGCAGGCCCCTGTTTATGCTTTCATAACAGCATTTGTGAATAATTGTAGCACGCTTTCTGGTAAGCTAGGCAGTGCCTTCTCTTTTTTAACGATGGAGTGTTACCCAGTAAGGCTCTGAGCGTAGATGCACTGCTTGAGGAGTCTCATTTCTGAGGTCTTCTGGTTTGGTTATGGGAAGATAGAGTTTATGGTGCTTACTTACGCAGTAAAATTCAGCTTTCCAGGTATGGTCAGTGAGTGCTGATTTGCAGAATGTGGCAATGTCTTCGTTTGCTGTGTACGGTTATTTGCATAGCTGTAGTTGGGTGTGGGTACAGCCATGGGGTCCTGAATTCTGTTGTTGCAGTGAGCTTTGAAGTTCCTGTGCAAGATACGAGAGATTTGGAGATGAGGAGAAGTCAAGCATCAAACTAATTTAAAAGTATTTTTATGTAATACAGCTCCTTGATTTCCATACTTTAATTTAATTTGATTGCTGTTCATGATTTGAAACATTTGTGATGCTTATGCATTATGAGTGGAATCCTTGGAAGTGCCTATGTAAGGTAGGTACCAAAAGTCTAGAGTGCTTATTTTCATAGATCCCCTAAGAAAAACTTAGCAAGGGTTATTACAAAAATGTACTTGCTGTACTGCATTTCTGTAACAAAAGTGGAAAGCTGACAGTTCTGTTTTTTTATTTAATTTAGATGTCATGAATTGACCTACCTAAATCTGTGTCACTGTGAAAATGTGACTGATGCTGGAATCGAAGCCTTGGGAAATATGTCGTCCTTGATATCCATTGATATCTCTGGAACCAGCATCTCAGATACGGTATATATATGATTAAAGAATGAAGAAATTGTTTTCTATTTATCTAGGCTTTCTGAAAAAAATGCAATAAGAATCCATTCATTTAAAACCTGCATGGATATGAAGCAGTGGAGTCACAGTGTCATTAAAATGTAGTTTAGAAACAGGTATAGTACAGTATTAGCCCATATATAGGCACTAAGAAATAAAAGGTAGTTCTTAAGTTGGACAATCTTACATTTGAAAGACAGAAACAGAAACCATCAGCAAGAGGAAGTTTGGCTGCTGTGAAGCTGATCTGAAAAGAATGTTTATTAAGCAGATTTTTTTTGCTCCAGGATGATTAGGCCTGAGGAAAACTGAAAAAAATGGTATTTTTAACATTTAAATTTGTAAAAACTGTGTTTTCCATGAACTAGATTTTATGGTGAAAAATCCTGAATGTTAAATCTAGCAGATGCACTGCTCTACACTGTGATCTAGAAAAGAATTGCTAGCGAAATAGTTACTAACAAGGTATCTTCAATGTGTCAAGTTGCTAAGACTCTGGAAAGCAAAATGGTGAGTGTGGGAGCCAGGTTAAACATCACAGGCCTCCACATTAGATGTTCTTGGGAGGTCCTGCCTTGTGTGCAGGGTTCAGAGCCAGTTCTGCTGTTTCTTTCACTTTTGGGGCAAACTCTTTTCACTGAAGTCTAGGAGAAACCTTGTGAAGAAAACTTGCCATAGAGACTATTTACTCAGTCACTGTTCAGAGTTCTGACCAAGAACTTCATTATTTGGCTCTAACACAGAGTTTGTGTAAAAGTAATTAAAATGTGGAGAAGTAATTAAAATGCCTGTATCTTTCATGGGGGCCTGAAAATAAAAACCAAAATCAAGCTAAATAAAGAAGGTTGGGAAATCCAAGAAGACTTCATTTAATGTGATCATTTAAAATATCATAAAATTATGGCTGAATGAAATGTATACTGCCTTGAGTTACAGTCCCACAATGTTTCAACACAAATGTTTTCTTTCTCTTTGCCTGCCACAGCTCATCTTTTAAAATGCTGTGTTGCTGCGTAGTCTAGTTTTCACATAGCACAACCCATGACCTTGGCAATAGGCCAAGCTCTTTTGCTTGCACTGCATTTCTAAGGCTTTCAGTTTTCTCTCTCCCACAAGACAAATAAATTAACCCAGAAACTGACCATTTATCCTTTTCGTAATTTCTGATCTGACTGCTAGTACTAGCTACAAAACTGTTACGGGTTTTGTTGTTTGCTATGTTAAAGTATATAACATTCACACATGTATAATAAATACATTTTCTAATCTTAAAATGTTATTTGATAAAAGGAAGTCCAGCAGTCTGCTTTGTAACAAGCTACTATTTGTGTCCTTTGGCTTTATATTATGCATTTGATTAGCATAAGAGGAAGTTGTATTAAGATCTCTTTCAATTTAGACTTTGTAAGTATTGCTTTAAAAATGTAGCAGAAAGCACAATGTTTTATGTGCAGTAATCAACACCATTACGCTGTGCTGATAAAGTGTAAGGCTCCTATGCTTTCCTGCAGTCTGTGCAGTAGATTGCTGTTGCTTTTGCTGTCATGCTATTTAGTGTGAAAAATGTAGAATGTACAACATATATTTGCACTACACAAAGAATTTTCCTTTCTGTTTTTTCAAATGACAGCAGAATCATTCTGCCCATCAAAGCAGAGCAGAATTTACTGCAGTAAAGATTACATACACTTAAGGGAAGGATAGGGGAAAAAAGATATGGTATAGTCAGATTTTCTTACAGATTTCTGTCTCAGGTATGACTGACTGAATCAAAATGGAAGTTTTTTTCCACTGTTGGTGCCTTCCTCTTCTGTAGTTACTCCGATGCCCAATAAGTGAATGTTCCTGTTGTGATCTGTCTTTCATTCAGGGAATTTGTTGCATTTGGAAGAAATATATTGACTCTTAGAATTGTCCCTGACAAGAGATCCTGTTAATAAAAAAAAATAAATTACAGTACCCTGTAGACTCACAGTAATTAAAAAATGTAGTGCTAATAAGAAATACATTACAAGTCTCTCTCATGTTTGGAGAAGTTTATTATCCTTGTCCCAAGTCTAGTCCTCAACAGCAAGAATGGAAATTGAATCAAAACAATCATTGCATATATTCAGATTTTGGTATTGTGTACAAAGTTATGCATTTTACATAGAAAGAAAATGCCTAGGCAAACTTCTACACACAAGCTAGAATAAGGCAAGTAATTCATCACATTTAAGTTGTATGTGTGCTTAAGTGTCTTGCTAAATAAGTCAAAGACCATTCATTAACAAAACCAAATATCATCCAATGAAGAGGATGTAAACGTTATGCATATGAGAAACTGTTGTCATACTGAAGAAGTTACTGTACTTTTCTCATTAGGGCTTTGACTATATTGCTCTTACTCTCATGAAATATATAACATTAAATAACCCCCCCCCCCAATTACATTTTAAATATTGATTTATTCACTCAGTTATTTTAGCATTCATCCTTTTACATTTCAGAAAATTTTCCTTCTTTATTAAAAATTTATTTTTTTGAAACAAATAACACACATTTTTTAAGTCTCAGATACTTTTTATAATAGCAGGAAGGACATTTGTTCTTTTTTTGTCATTCCTGAAGTACTAGAAATTGGTTTCTTAGAGGTATAAACAACTTAAGAGAGAGTTACGAAAAGATTTTCAACTTAGTGACATCATTTCTTTGGAAAAAAAAAAAAAACAAACCACTCAATGACAGAGCAAAGATGTTGACTTCTTTGAAAAAACTACCGTTAAATTCTTTGAGAAATCTCCCTTTTTGTTTCTAGCTAGCCTCCTATCCTTCTTTGTTTTCCCTCACGTTTCCCTCCCCTCCCTTCTAAACTCCCTGGAATAGGGACCATGGTGTTTTAAATTGGTGAGTATGGTGAACATGTTCGTGAATGCATAGGTAATATCACAAGTCATTTTAGATGTCACTGTAAAGGTGTTTGCAATATATGCAAGGTGGTTAAGCTTCTATTACACATCTGGAAACATTAACATTTAGGACGAAAATCTATTTATCTTTCTTTTAAAAGCAGACTGAGTGGAAATGCTTCCATGAGTTAGAGAAGCAAGCTTTATTCTCATACTCTCCATATTTTTGTTAAAATGTCTTGAACTTTTTCTGATGTCTAAATGATACAGCTTTGACAGCTTTGCTCCAACTCTGAGACTCTGAAAGCATGCAGCTGCCTAGCTTGCTTTGTTCCCGACACAAGCTGCTGTTGCATATAGCCTGGACCACCCATCTTCTTGGGACATAAAAAAAAGAATTAAGTATAGAAGTGTCAGGACATTTGAAGAAAGTGTCCCAAGTCAAGCAGGATTTGGACAGAAAACGCATAGTAAAGAATAATAAAAAGAATTGTTAAAGAAACATAGTGACTCCTGAGTTATATAGAGCAGCCAGCAACAAAACCAGTAGATGCCCTGCCATAGACTCAGGGAAGGTTGATATCAGTGGTGAATTATATGCAGTGTAATAATGAGAGAGAAAAAAATAGCCTAAAACATAAAAAATAGGTAAAATACTTGAAAAAATGGGAAGAACCCTGATACACTTCTGAAATCAAAGATAAAAAGGAAATATGAAGTATACAGAGAAATATTCTTTGCTTCTGCATTTTCTTCTGCAATGACTGTCATGCATGGAATTCTCTCTCGTAATAATCTAAGGCCCCATTCTCTCTTCTGGCTGAAATGCCTCCTGAAGAATTACCTGTGGCATCAAATCAGCTAATCAGGCACAGATTTTTTGTGTGCTATGTGTGCAACTCTTTAAAGTTGAGGACAATTTGTAATCACTGGGGACCCTGGAGTAGTAGTTATATGGTTGTATAAACAGTTAGCTCAACTTTCTTTTCTTATGTGTTTGTACTTAATGATCTTCAGATCCTGGCTGGTCCTGAAGGCCAGGCTGCAATGTAAATATTTACTAGTATTTTCATAAGAAGTTTCTAAATAGGGGGGGAAAAAAACCCCAAAAGTGGCCTTTTGGCTTTCCACAGTTATCTAGAGTAATTTCTTTGCACTCTTAGTGGGATTCTGAATCTATGGTGACTTGAATCCATAGCCCGGCTCCACATTTTGTTCTATTAGAAAATTAAGCCAGTAGGACTGAGGAAGAGCCTTGTGAAAGTTAAGAAAAAAATATTATCAGGTCTAATAGATATAGCCAGCAACAGACTGCAAATGAATTAGTTACATTTGATTTCCAAATGAAAGGATGTAACAAATCACAGGCATTCCCCAGGCAGGGAAAAGGAAATGGTAAAATATATTAAGGTGGGCTCCAAATTCAGATGTTAGCACTCCAGTTTGCTTGGGAGAATAAAGAAAGAGAGATTTTGACCTGAGACTTAGCAACTTAATTCTGCATAGAAATAGGAAACACTAACACAGAGAGTCGTTACAATCGATGCCAGATATGCTAACACCTTGAGTCCCAGTGCAAATCAGAAGGAAGTGAAGGTACTTAGCAATGTTGAAAACTGGGCTTGATATTTTTGCAGGACATTTTGTTGCAATGGAAGCCCTGTTGTGTGGACTTCGTGTCAAGGAACGTTGGCAACTGTATTACTAAAGATACGATCTGGTATAACTGCAAACGGTGTTAGGTACAGAAATTAAATTTTATGGCATGCATTATACACAGTCATACAGGGAATTTCTGCACTGTGATAGAAAAATGTCTCTACAGTGCCTGTAAACAGATCTGACCCACCTTTATATTAGCTCAGGTATTGGAAATAGTATAGTACATTTGCTTAAGAACTTACTAATTTTCCAGAAGGTTTTTGCTATCTGAAATGGAACTTTGTTCTGCCACATGTGTATTGTTATTAGCAATGTGATACTGCATGATATCTTCTAGTTGGCCTTTGATCCATTAAACTGGTGCCTGACTGTGGCCAATCTGTGCAGAAACTTGAGTGTTTTAGAGGATAAACTGAGTCATTTAATATTAAATGGCTCAGAAATGGGAGGTGGGAGATACCTCTTAAGAGCTGTCATCCAAGACTGAAGTCACTTTGAGGTCAATCTGTTTGGTTTGGGGTATGAACAGGAAGTAACATCTGTATATCTCTGGAACATAAAGATACGTTACAGATGCTGACCTTTAAGGTTACAAAGAGATATGTGAACAGAAATCTCAGAAAAAGTTGAAAATAGCATAGCACATGGTTATTATTAGTGAGAGACGGTACATTCATTGCAGTCTGCAGTTGAAAGGCAGAGACTTGCAGCTTGTGAATATAAATAATAGAGTTGTTCTTTGGTATGCCATAGCCTCAGATGACTTTTGTCTCTAGCAAGAGAAGACCATCACGGGCTGGTACAGTCGGTACTCATTTTCTCATCCACAGAAACCTTGGTGAAATAATAACAAATGATGTTCTGCAAACGTTTGTAGGCCTTATATAACAAAGTAAATGAAAGAACAAAAATGTAGAAATTACTTGAAAAAAACAGCTGTTGGAGAAGAATAAGAAGTTTCTTTTAAAGTTATTTTCTAAATGGAAATGGTTATATACATGCTACAGAAGAGATGGAGGACAAAGTCTTCCCTTTTTCCATGGCAACAGAAGATTGATCCAAGATACACAGGGTGATTTCTTTATGTTAAAGGAGAAATATGTTTTTGGAAATACGTAGAGTGGGTGACCTTAGTCTGTATGCTGCACAGTATCTGTTTTGCTAGCATCTATTTCCAGGAGTTTCAGTATCTTTCAAAAATGTCTGGAGGCTTAGTATGGAAGATAAATGTCTCTAGAAATAGGTCAGTATCCTGGATAGGGATCCCTGATGTTATTTATCAGGGAATACTACTGAATAAATCAGGAAGTCTAATAAAACTAGTGATAATTGGCTCCTTTGTATATATGTTAGATACAAAAATTATAGTTAAAAATTTCATATAGATTAGGCTTCCTGCGTAGAGCTTGTTTGAAGAGGTTTATTTCTGGAAATGTAAAAGTTTCATAGTTTTTCTATGTAATAGACAGTTCCTAATGACATTCCTGGTCTTCCATGTCTTCAC